CAGACCCCTCCCCGCCGCCCCGGCGGCCACTCAGCGCCCGCGCCGCCCCGAGCCCGAGCCCGAGCCGCGCCTACCCCGCACCGCCCCCACGGTTATTTTTCTTTTCTTTTTCTTTCTTTTTTCCTTTTTTTTTTCAAGCGTGCACTTGCACGTTTCTTTCATTTTTTTCCTTTTTTTTTCTTTTTTTTTGCAAGCCTGGCCGGACCCCGCCGCTGCTGCAGCGGGGCGGGTGCCAATGCAGGCCCCCCGGGCCAGCTTTGGGCTGCAGAGGAGCAGCCGCGCTCGGGCTTGGAGGAGGGCAGCAGGGTCCCTCGTAGCGGGAGAGGAGGCTCCGGGCTTAGGGATGCATCTGTGCAGGGCAGCTGAGGGCTGTCAAAATGGGGTGATTCTGGGCATTTTCAGAAGCCTGAAAGAAATCTGAGGAGTCAGTGGGCATCAAGCACCTCTGTCATTCCACGGTGATGGCTCAAGCATCTCCGAGGTTCTCAGTTCAGGGTTTATGCCGCCACATCCCAATATATAGGCTCAGACATAGGACACATCACAAGGTGCCAGGCATCTTTCTGCCCAGAGTGCATAAATTCTGCTTCCACACCAGCCTAGGGCTTGTCTCCTTCCCCTCCCAGGCCTGCCACGAACAGACTGGGGATCTTGGAGCACTTTAAGACACCACGCAGAGCTGGCGCTCTCTGCAATCAAACTTGAGGCAAGTGGAGAGAAGTGAAACAAAGGACTTACTTATTTCAGGAATAAATTTGGGAGAGGTCTAGGCAGCCTTAGCTCTGATTTTAATACAAGGAAGTGGGAAGGGGAAAAAAAAAGTCAAGTGAAGCAGGGTGTGACAGTGCCTAAAGAGACAACAGAGGTTAAGAAGCTGATGGCAAGGGAGGGAAAATGTGAGTGAGGGATGGAATAGGAACTTCAGAGTAGGAAAGTGAGGCTTTTAGCAGCCTGAGAGCAAAGTGATCAGTGCAACAAGCTTGAAACACTGGCCTACATAAGCAAGGAGCCTGAGCAGCAGCATGGAGGAATAAAACCCACCAGCGCATGAAACTACCAAGGAAATAACACCCACCGCCTGCTGTGAAGGAAATAATAGAGCAGGAGGAAATCATTAACCTGAGGGACTTGCCCATATTCAGGAAAAGAGAGACCTCATGGTAAAGGTCCCTGAATAGCACCAAGTGATGGAAAGTTGCTAAAAGAGAGATGGCAGGAAAAAAAAGTAGTCAGTGACACTGAAGTCCCTGTCAGAAGTGAGCATTTGAATGGAGCTTTCTGTAAGCTGCAAGATGACGTTTCCATATGGGTATCCAGAATACACTGCTTACTGAGCAGCTCCCATTTCCCAGATGGGCACAGGAGCCTGGATGATGCCATGAGGAATGACTGGGCCTGCAAAGCACAGGGTGCAGAAACAGATTTCTTTTTGGCAGCCACAGAAACAAGAAGAGGTGATTTGTAAGGAGCGAATATGTTGTAAGGACATTAAGAACATAGGGGAAAAAATGATAGCTTGTAAGTCAATGCAGTTTAAAGTAAATGGATGTATAAAAAGGAAGTCTATTAAGAGCAGTCTAAGTCAAACAAGAAAAGAGCAAGAGACCCTAATAAGCAAAGATCAGCAGGGCTGAAGGACTTGAATAAAAAGGAAACACTGGATTTCTTTATGCCAGAGCAGCAAAAATGACCTGTGCATTGCACCTTAAGCAAAGGGGAAAGGTTTGACGGAAGATCTCCTGGCAGCTTGGTAAATGAGCTCTCTGGAAATGGCAAGTGCAGAAGGAATGGCAAGGAGATGTGCTCACCTGGAGCTGCTGTCTGCAGGGAGAGGAACCACGGGAGAAAAGGAATAACGGGATTCACTCAGATAGTTCAAGTAATCTGGACAAATTTTGAAGAGAAGAGCAATTACAGATATGGAATTAAATGGAGAATAGGATAAGCTGAAACATGGGATCACACAAAACGTTGCTGCAGGATGATACTGTTCCGTGTTGCCGTTTCCCCTCTTTTCCTTAAAAAAAAGAGATGGTTATTCCAACAGGAGAACGAGGGGCTCAGGAGACGGTGACGGGTGGGCTGTAGGGGACCTGTCAGAGTGGAGGGAAGCTGCTCTGCGGGGTCCATCGAGGCTCCCGTCTGCACTAATGTCTTCGTCATCGTGGTGCCGAGGAGCACATGAACATGCTAACGAACCCTGCTGGGGGCAGAGCTGGGAGTCATCGTTAGCTCCAGCAGGAACGGGAATAGGAAGTCAAAAACCAGGGTGCCTCTTAGGGCTGGATTAGCGAAAACCTAATTAAATTTGGAAATATTAAGGACTTGCAGACATTAATCACAAAATATTCTTCCACCAGCTATGAAATCAGCACTTGGAAAAGACAGGTTTGCTAATAACAAGATGAGCAGGAGCTTGGTAAACAGGCCCGTGCAAACCCAGTTATGTCACAGAAAAGATCTGAAATGCGACGGTGAGTGCGACTGTCACCCAGTCTCAAGGGAGAACAAACCGAAGGGGAACAAGTATGGATGAAAACTCCTAAGAGGCTCAAGGAAAGGGCAGAGGATGGAAAGGGCAGAGGATGAACGCACGCGGTGTGTTCAGTTTGGCGAAACAGAGGTGGGTTTATAAGGACAGATTATATGATTTGCTTGTCTGCAATGTTAATGAGACTGGGTGACCGAGAGGTCCTTCTCAGACATCTGCAGAAGATGCTCTAGTGCCACGATATAGGTAAATCTTTAGGTACAACATACAGCAGCGCGTGCAGCAGCCGTCTGTACAACACACAAAAAAACGGATACGGTGGGAGAAGGGGGAAACCACAGAGGGTCAAGAAAATCAGATGGCACCTGGGCAGACCCTGGAGGATGCTGAGGAGGAATCTGTTTTACGAAGGGGATGATTACTTCGAGATGAGCTGAATGTGATAAAATAATTGGAGACTGGGACCAGCGCCTCTGTCTCAGAATACAAAAAGGAAAACAAGCCAATAGGATTAATACGTGGAACTTTTCAAAAATTAAGGTACAAAATATTTTCCCATAAAATATGTAACTGAGCAGCTGTGATAAGATGGCATTGAGGCAAAAAACAAAGTCAGTAATACTCAAAAAAAAAGTATTGTGCGTTTACAGATTATGAGAAAATGAAGTTTTACAATATTTAATGGTAGCTCAAAGTTTGTAAGCAGAAGTAAATTATTATTTCCTCAAATTTTGAGCCACTGTCCAAGTACTGGGGACCGAAAAGAGCTTTAATACAGTGGAACTGGGCTTATTCAGTCATCGATCTTTTTAATACAGAATTTCCTAGGAATTTCCCCTAACTTATGCAGAAACGCCTGGCACGAAAGCCGAGGTGTTAGCCCAGGTGGCCACGGGTTAGAGCTGGTGTGAATCAAACCAGTGTTGCTCAAGCCCTGTGAAAAGCCCTGAAAAATGGCTTTTCTCCCCTCCTCCGGCACAGGGCTGCGTCACCTGCCAGCAACAGGACACAACAGGGAGCAAAGAGTCATTACAAGAAATCACATAGGAGGGAAAACACTTTTCCCTGTCCTGGGAACGCTCCCGGGGGCTGCAGAGGCCGAGCTCCCGGGATGGGATCGTCCCTCCGCGCGGGGAGAGCGGGAAAGGAGGCACCGGCAGCGCCCGCACCTCCCCGCGCGCCGCCCCGTCTCTATGGCAGCGCCATAGCAGACATATTTCCCTTTCCACAAGAAAGCCTGACTAATGTTCTGCAATTATATTAGTCTGCCTTTTAATCAGATTTTATCTTCTCTTAAGCCTGCATTTTTTCCTACTTCCTCCTTATGTAAGATTCCCAAGCTCTCGGCCAAGCAGTGAAAGCTGAGGGTTTTCTTCCTCGTTCAGGGCCGGTGTTTCTGCCCTGCTTTGTGCCCCCACAGAACCAGCCGTTGTTTGGTGCGTTTGGATCAAACACCTGTAAAAGGGGGGAGGAAGCCCTGGTGACAGAATCTCTTGAATAAATACAAGCTCCAACTCTCATGCAAGAATATCTATGTGAGCACTTAGCAGAATTTGTATTTTCCATTTTAGGAAGGCCTTTGGGATCTGCATGAGGAGCTCTGAAAACTGGGGCATGAAAATGCCATTGCTTCCTCGCCTTGAGTCTCATCCTGAGACACGGTTGGATCGTGATGGG